CCTTGTGCCAATCCGTTGTGACAACAATGTCTCTGCCACCTGCTCCCAGCTAAAACAGCTCACCTGCCTACAGTCAGCCCCCAACGACAAAGGGGAGGCAGCCAAGGTGGGCCTGCTGTACACAGTGAGCACGTAGCCTCTGGGTACCAGGCTAGGCATCTGGACATGGTTTAAGGCCAATGAGGATGATCCAGCAACTCTGGGAGCTCTGGCAGGGAGCAGAATGGACAGGGAGGAGCGTGAAGCATTGGGGGGGGGGGCGGTAGGAGCCAAGTCTGCAGTGCATTTTGGCTGGATTTCTAGTTTCAGTTTCTCCAAATAACCATACTTTGCTGTCAAAGTGAATGTGCACACTAGAATTAATTGAGCATTGGACAAAAGTTCTCAGTCTGATAGGTTTGTTATTTAAAATACTTTAAGTGCCAGGTGCTGGTGGCTCACACCTATAATCCTAGCTGCTCCATCAGGCTGAGATCTGAGGATCGAGGTTCAAAGCCAGCCTGAGTAAAAATGTTCATGAGACTCTTATCTCCAATTAAGTACCCCCCCCAAAAAAAAGAAAAGAAAAGAAAACACAGAAGTGGGGCTGTGGCTCAAGAGTAGAGCACTAACCTTGAGCAAAGAAATCTCAGGGACAACATCTAGTCCCTGAGTTCAAGCCCCAGGACTGGCACACACAGAGAAAAAAAAATGACAACAAACCTAAAATTCCTTCAACTCACATCTGTAATCTCAGCCTCCTAGCTACTCAGAAGGCTGGGATCTTGGATCAAGGCAGTCTGGGCAGGAAATCTCATGAGACTTTTATCTCTCATTATATCCACCAAAATGCCAGAAGTGGTCTGTCTGGTAGAGTGTCAGACTTGAACAAAAAAGCTAAGGTACAACACCTAGGCCCTGAGTACAAGCTCCAGTATTGGCATGCATGCTCATAAAAAGGAAAAGGGGAAGGGCTAAGGATGCAGCTCAGAGTTAGGGCACTGGCCTGGTATGTACAAGGCCCTAACCTCAATCACCAGCCCTGAAAAGGAAATGAAATAAAATTAAATGCCTTAAGGGGAAAGATGGAGTAGTAGAGTGACTACAGGGAGGTCTCAGGCCTGCCAAGCTTTTCTGGTCCCTATTATCACCAAGCTAGACCCAGTTGCTGAGCATGGAGCGTGACTCCCAGTGACTTTGTCCAGAAGCTTGTCCATTGACTATGGTAGAATCTTCCAGTATCTAAGACATTGGCCAGTCAGAGCTTCTCCAAAGGGCCATCACCAGAGAATGTCACCTTCAGGAAACACCCAGCACAAATGTACGAACTGATGGAAATATTTTCTTCTTCCTACCCCATGCAGCAAGCATCATGTTCCACAGGAGCCTTGTTGAAAAAGAGTCAAAGGCCCCACTATGACTGAAATCCATGACATCAGGAGTGAGGATGAGTGACAGCAGGCCCTGTGAGTGACAAGCTTGCACACATGTGCAGATCTGTGCCCAGGTGGGGTACATGTTGCTGTGTGTGCACCCTCTTGGGTGGATGACTGGGTTTGTGCAGTGTCACCCTTATGTCTGTGCTCATGTCTGTGTGCCTGACAGCATATTCCCCTGAGTCCAGGCATGCCTGGACCATATTATGGTATGTTATGATTATACATTCAAGAAGTCCATGGTGTGTGGACTCAGGTCCGTTCAGTGTTATGTGTGACATTATGTGACACATGTGAACGTGGTGATAGGGTCCCCAAACATGGGCACATGGGAAATCCTATCCAGTTGGGGTGTAGACCAGAAGAAGCTGGAGAAACGATGAGTATGGATCTATCTTCAGACCTCTTACCCTCAGCCAGCAAAGCCCCTGAAGAGGGGCTTTGGAGACCTAGCTCTTCCCCTGACAGTGTAGCATTTTCTGCTTGGCCCATGGAGGAAGGGAAGGGGCTGTTTTCCCCAGCCACTCCCTCCATAGCACCTCACCTCTGCCTGACAGCACCTGGGGTGGAGGGGCTCTTGTGGCCAGAAGATGGACAGCTGCCTCCCCATGTGGCTGGATTCTCCCGCCAAGTGGGCAGCTAAATCAACAGGCTCAGAAATTGGAGAGGGTCTCAGGCTCTGGCTGTCCATCAGTCTGTCTGTTTGTTTATTTGTTCTGGGGTTGTGGGAACTTCCAACCTATAGGGGACCCTGGTGCCCTGAGAGGTGGGGCGAAGCAGGAGGTGCTATCACCCATCTGGCCAGACCCATCCTTTGCCCCAGATCTCCCCCATCTGCCTTTTTGGGCACTTGGCCCCATAGTGAGGAAGGGGACCAATGGTAGGCAGGACTCAACTGTCCCCAGCTATGTGACACTGGCCTACTGCCTCTCAGCTCTCAGACTAGAGTCACAGCAATGAGTACTTCTGTCTTGTTTTCTTTCTTTCCTTTCTTTCTTTCAGAAGTACTGGGGTTTGAATGCAGGTCCTTGTACTGACATGGCTGATGCAGTATCCCTGAGCTATGCCCTCAACCTTGTTTTATTGCTGGTTATTTTGGATATGGCCTGAAACCCAAATACTCCAGATCTCAGCCTCCTGAGTGGCGAGGATTACAGACATAAGCTACCGGCACCACCAACACAAAACCCATAGGAAATTTTACTTTATTTTTGCAATCCTGGGACTTGCTAGTCTGGCACTCTTACCATTTGAAACATATCTCCAATCTGTCTTCTCTCTCTCTCTCTCTCTCTCTCTCTGTGTGTGTGTGTGTGCTAGTCCTAGGGCTAAAATTCAAGACCTGGACACTGTCCCTGAGCTGCTCTGCTTAAAGATAATGCTCTACCACTTGAGCCCTAGTTCCATTTCTGATGTTTTGGTGATTAATTGGAGATAAGAGTTTCTAGACTGTCCTTCCCCAGTCTGGCTTCAAACTGCTATCCTCAGAGCTCAGACTCCTGAGTAGCTAGGATTACTGGTGTGACCCACCAGTGTTCAGCTTGTCTTCTTTTATACCCAGCTTTGCCACCTCTTCTTCTGTCAGCTTCTTTTGGTCTCTCTCCATTTTTCTTTCTGTTAGCTTCTCTCAACTGTTCTTTTTATTCATCTTGTAGTCACCAGGTGCCTGGGACCCAAGAACTGGGGTAAGCACTGTCCTGGCTCGGAGGGAGTGGGGCTTAGGTGATGCTACAGAAAGAGCCACACATCTGCTCACCCCAGCCAGCATCCTCACCATGCCACCAAACTGACCCTCTAAGCTGTTCCTAATTTCCTGGACTTTGCCAAAAATTTAATCAGATCTACATGTTTGAGCCACTCAGTTCCCTCCTTAGACCATTGCCCCCCACCACATGAGCACTGTGGAACTGGGGGTGCTATCACCTATTTGGGTGAGGGTCCTGCTTGCTGTATTTTGTCACACCCTACATTGCTCAGCACACTCTTTGGCAAGGACTTCCTTTCAGTAGAGGGATGCCCCCTGCTCAGAGAGGACAGAAGCTGCTGTGGTGGGCAGGGCCAAGCGGCCTTGAGGGCTGTGGTGATTGGTGAAGAGGATTTGCATCCCTTCTCCAACCTCACTAGGCAAAGTTTCTGGAGGCAGCTGCCTGGTCCAGGTTCTGGATCCACCTCCCAGACACATCTGGAGCTGCAAAGCTCAAACCCATATTCGTCTATGGCACTTATACCAACGGGTGCAGCATGCAGGCAGGAAGCGTGACATGGCTTTGATGCAGAGCCTGTGCTGTTAGTACCAGCTTCTTTGGAGCCAGGCATCTTGAGACCAAAGATGGGTGAGAGGCCACAAACAAGTGACCCTGTGATCGTGCAGATGCAGAGCTCCTATTGGCTGGGTTCTCCCTCCTGTCACAAAGTCTCCACTGTCACAAAGTCTCCTGTAATGTATCCATCACCATTGCCTCAGGCAAAGCACCTTAGCAGGCTGAAACACTCCCAAAGGGGACCCTGGTCACTTCAGAGGCACCAGCCAGTGTGTTGGGATCTGGGAAGGACAGAGGCTTCCAGCTCATCTGCCTCTCCCGCCTCAGACGAAGGTTGAGCCTTTGGTTGACTTCAGTGGGACGCTGAAGACTTGATGTATCCCAGGCGGCTGGGGCCTGGGCGGAGCTGCTGACAGTCAGCTAGGAAAGGCTGGGCACTGGCTGCGCTTGGGGAAGGACCTGCTTTCTTGGAGACCTTGAGGCCAGTGTTAGAGGCAATTTGTTACCGTAAGTCCTGAAAGGAATTAACCAGAGCACTGTAAAGCCAGGTCCCACTATGTTTCTATCAAAGTCCCTATGGGTCACAGCCTGATTCTGCCACTTGGAGCTCTGCTTTCTGGAAAAGGGGGGAGGGTCATCTCAGAGCACCCACCCTTGCTCTAAGAGGCTAGGAACCAACACGGGGCGGGGGGACAGCTGGTCCTGCACACCTTGTTTTGGGGATCTGTGTGCTGTGAACACACCAGACAGGCACACCAGGGTGTGCGGATCTTCCAGAGCTGGGACCGCGGCTGCCTGCGCTGAGCGGAATTCTCAGCGGCAGGCGGGCGGGCAGGCAGTGTCTTTACAATGGACGGGAAGCTAGGAACTGGCCGGTGGGCGTGGGGGGCCTGTCGGAGGCTCCCCTGGGGGAGCCACGTGTGCCCAGGGGAGGCGGAGCTGGGCAGATAACTGAGCAGCCAAGAGGCCGCCTCCCGCACACTGGGGAGAAATCTTCAGAAATTTGGCTTGTTCCGCGTCCAGCTCTGAAGATGCCAGGCCAAAGGGTGAGTGAGTGGGGGCACATCGGACTCCAGGGGGCAATGCTGGGGTGCAGCCCAGCACCTACGCGCGGGCTTCTGGGAGCCAAGCCTGTTGGGTTTGCTCAGTCCCACCCTACCCCTCCAACCTCCCATTCTCATCCACGCTTCTGGTCCCCACATCTTACCGCCAGTTTCAAAGCCGAGCCTGGCGTTGCAGGCCTGTAAAAACGATTTTTTAAAAATCGAGAACGCCCTCCCCTTCCCAGTCCCCTCGCGTGGCGAAATGCGGGTCCCCTCACCGCATGGCGCGTGGAGGAGCAGAGCGCGCATCTCAGGTCCCAACTGCGCAGGGCGCCCTAAGGAGTCCGGTCCGGGGCGGCTGCTCGCGACCCCGCACCGGGACGCGCTCTCCGGGTGCGCACCGGGCCGGCTCCCAGCCAGGTCTCCTACCTCCCGGCAATGGAGGCGCGGCCGGCAGGGGGAGCGAGGCGGAAGGGAGACGCAGCCGGTCCAGGTGAGGGAGGAATACTTCCCGCGGGCGAGGCGCTGCGTTCGTGCGGGTGCGGAACAGGCAAGTGCCGGGCCATTAAGGCCCCCGGGTAGTGCGCTCCCTCGGGGCCTACGGGAGGGCACGGATAATGGGGCGGCGACGGACCGAGAGGAGCTCGGGTGAGTAGCCGGGAGGCTGCGGAGGCCGGCGAAGCTCCGGTTCAGAAGACGGAGAGGAAAAGTCCCAGGAGCCCTGCCCCAGGGGCGATGAAGAAAGCGGGGCTGGAGGCTCGCTCCCTCCGCCTCGCGCTTCCAGGACTTCGGGAAGCCTTTGGGTCCCTGTAGCCAATGACTTCGAAAAGGTCCCAGCGTTGAACTTCGGGGCTGGGGCTTTCGCGGTCCAGCGGGTGAGTACCCGCAGCGGGTGTCCAGGGTTGGCTGCCGGCAGAGGGGCTGCGTGGGGTCCCTCACCGTTCCCCAGAGCTCCGCTGTTTGCTAGGGTTCCCACCCTAGAAAAGCCCGTTGGCTTTTCTGTGGCGCGTTTGCCTACCCAGCTCTTTTAAGTCCCTTAATGGCGTGAAAGGGTTAATGGGGGCTGAAAGAAATGCTCTCTTAACTACTTGAATCAGGAGCTCTGGGGACCTTGGGGCCGGGCCCTAAGGGGCAGACTCTGTGTCCTCAGGATGCCTGGGGGGTTTTCACTTTCACTTCTTGCTTCTCGGGGTTGCCCTTGTGTACGGTCTCAAACCTGGCTTGTACACACCTATAGGTGTGTATAAGGTGAAACCTCGGGCACCCCACATAGTTGGGCACTATGAAAAACTTAGATGAGCACCCACTGTAGCTCTGATTTCCATGTTCCCATCTACCCACAGCCTGCACTGTCCATGGCTCCTCTGGTGCTGGGCATCACTACTATGACCTGCCCCACCCGTGATCCTTGCCACCTGCAGAAAACCTCAGCTCCCTTCCATGAGGGGTGGGCCTCCCGGGGTCCTGAAGGCAGTGGGCTGGCCCTGCTCAGGAAAGAGGGAAGAGGGACCTGGAGCCCAGCTGCCCACCCCCTGCATTCCTTATTCTTTACATTGTCCTCCCAGGTCCCCTCAGTGAAAGACACAGATCACTGTCATCGTTAGCTCCAAATGGCCCCTCAGAGATCAAGGAATGCCCTGGTGACAGTTACCCTTTCCTTACAGGGTCCATAAGGAATCCAGCTGCAGGCTGGGGACAAGCCAAGGCCTCCTCACCTAGGCACAGTTACACACACCACACCCAGCACCCAGCACCATCTGTGTTCTGACCCAATACACACTATACTCCTGGCCATATGCTCCTTCTTGGACCGAAGTCCAGAACCAATCCCTTCACACTAGAGTCCACTGCCTTGGTCTCCAGTTTCTGGGCCTTCCCAGCTTCCGGCTAGTATTCTGTACAGTCCAGAATAAGAGGCCTGAGATTGTAAAAGCCCAGGGAGAGGCTGCCTGCCTCCCACTCCCATCCCCAACAAGCAGAGCGTGAACCTGCAAGGTCATAGGCAGAAAGGCCTTGGAAACCTGGCAGCCAGGGCCTTAGAACAGGATCAGGGAGGATTCTGGGAGGCTGCAGGCTTCATACCTAACTGGAGAGACCCTGGACAGAGAGGCCATGGACACACTGAACTGGCCAAAGGAGGACCCAGAGATAGGAGGCGAGACACAGACCAAATCAAGAATTGGCATGGAGATGTATGCCTGAGCCTGGAGGCGAGAGGCTGAGGAGCTGGTCCTGAACCCCAGTAGCAAGGCCTTCCCCCGCTGCTCAGGCTGGCTGGAAGGTGGCAAGGGGCAGCACCCGACCATGACCATCCGGCCTGAATTTCTCCAACGTGTCCTCAGCTCCCTCGGCCGGCCAGGCCCCGCCCCCGGCCCTCCCGGTGCGCAGGGAGGTCGGAGGAGCGGGCACTGCCCACCCTCCGGATGTAAAAGCGTCCTGGCCAAAGGCAGGCAGTACGGCGGGTGCGCATGACGCTGGGGCTCCCAGGCTGCGCGGCCTGGGCGTCATCCCCTCCCCCTCAGGTCTCCAGCCAGGACAGCAAACCGTCCTGAGGGGGTCTGTGAGATTATTTACTGGGCTAGGGCCTGTCCCGAAGCTCCGAGGAACGGAGGACTCCGAAGCCCTGGGGCATTTGTCCGAGGCCAGCGCGGGAGCTCTCTCACCCAGGTGCAGGGGCAGCCGGGGAGGAGAAGGAGGCAGTAGGGACCAAGGGCAGGCGCAGAGCTGGTCTCGGAGCCCTGGGTGCTTCATCAGTGTTCTGCCACCTTTGGCTGGAGCTGGGTGCTCTCCACATGGCGGCCTGACCTCTAGGGCAGTAAAAGCTGACCGTGGCTTCGCTGAACAGAGAGAAGTTCGATCTCCGCTGGAGCAGCGGGATGTCCAAGGGGCGTTGGTCACCGAGGGCTCTGAGACCAGAGGCGAGGGGCAAAGAGCTTGGAAAGCAAGAGGGCCCTGAACTTCCAGGGTGCTCCACCCGTTCGGGCTCCTGGGCCGATATTGGCTCCAAATGGGGGGCCCATGACGCCATAATCCCCTGGGCCTGGGGCCGGCGGCTGTGAGTGGCACCATAGGCTCCCGCCCCCGGGCTGGGCTGGGCGCGGTGCGGCTGGGCGCACGCAGTCGGAGGCGGCGCCGGCCAGGCCGCTGGGCGCCTATGGACGCGCGGAGCCCGCTGTCTCCCCGGGCCAGCGCGTTCAGCATCGCCTCTCTCGTTGCAGCCGAGGCCTCGGAGGGCGCCGCCCACCGGGCCCCCGGCCCCAGCGATCGGGCGAAACTTCGCCTGCAACCAGGATCCCCGGCCGGGATGCACTTCAGCACAGTCACCAGGGACATGGAAGGTGAGCTTCTTGGCCGCGTCTGCAGCGGCCGCCCGCCAGCCCCCTGCCTCGCTCGGGTCCCCTGAGGTCTTGCCCCTAAAAAGTCGAGGGTGCTCCTGGAGGAGTAGACTCTAGCGTTAAAGCTGGGACTCTGGCGCCAAGAGGAGGGGTGGGCATCCCCCCTCCCCGAAGCCTATGCACACAGTAGCCTGGGGCCCCAGCCTCGGGGACTGGCACGCAGCTAGGCTAGATGGAGGCCTGTAGGAGGGGATTGGAAGCGGGAAGAAGAGGGACTGTAAGCTTGGAGAGGCGAGACGAAGCAGAGAAGGTAAAGAGACTGCAAAAGGGTCAGGGAACACAGAAAAAGGAAAACACACACACACACACACACACACAAACAAAACAACAGAAACGATGAAGGCAGCCAAGAGGAAAAGGCATTGAGAAAAGGAGAGAAAGCACGATAAGGACGTAGGAGAGAAAAAGACAGGGAAAAAAAAGAAATAAAGGCAAGAACGAAAAAGAAGAGAGAACGTGAAGAAAACATGTGAACACAGACAATAAACTCATTAAAAATAAAGAACAAGAGAAAGACTCCAGGTTTTATTTTTTTAAAGAAAGGAAAACATGAGTAACAGGACATATAGAAATGGGGGGGAGGAGGTAGATGGAAAAGACAAAGAGTGAAGAAAAGCCTAAAGTGGAAGGACATTGTAAAAAAAAATGGAAAGTAAAACAAATAAGAAGCTAGAGATATTGGGAAAGGCAAAGATGGATAGGAGGAACAGTTTTTAAGTGGGGAAGACAAAGGTAAAGAAATAAATTGGGAAAAGAAAACTCCAACGCGGGAGGGCGGCAGAGCAGGGGCCGCGGATGGGCCCGCCGCTCCGGGGAGCCGGTCCGGGCGGTCGGGG